ATTTCTCGGAGACCTTTTGTCCGATTGCTATGAAACTTTCAGGGTAGATACAATGTATTATTGCCTAAAAACGGTTTTTCATTTTTTTGATATAAACCCCCGTTCATGAGTTATTGCCCTTTAATCGATATTTGGAGGGTCTCTTGTCCAGTAGAATTCTCAATAACGACACAAGATATTTGCATGAAAACTGGAGAGCTTGTAACTAATACATTGCAGATGCGCAGAACATTAAAATTGTAGGCTAATTTTTTTAAGTTCGGAAGCTATGTGACGGCAAGTTTTAAGAATTATTTTTCCATGAAATTTTGCTGCTTTTTGTTTAATAACTTTTAAACTGATAAAAATTTGGTAAGACATATAAAATAAAAGTTGTGTGTAATTACGAGAGCTTTCAGATAACATCAAGAAAAAGGGGCTGACCCCTATATTCAGGGGACAGCAGGTCATAAAAGTATTTTTTGGATAGCTAAAAATATTAAAATATTATGAAAAAGTTTGAATGACATAATTTCTAACATATTAAATCTTGCCATGTGGTATAAAGAGAAACAAGCTCCGTGCTATATTTTATTCTATTTTATATAATAATTATTCGAGAATCGTACAGTTGTCTACAAACCATCCACGCCTTTTAGGGCATCGTAACACATGCTTGTACGGTTTTAGATAGTTGTTGTGTTTTAAATAAATTGTTTTGATTCGATTTCTCTGTTTTCTGTTATTTAAATCGTTTATAAATGCAAGTTATTTACACAAGTAAAAGTAAATCAACATTTACAAATGCATCCGTATAGAAAGAGTCTTAATCGGGGCCTCTTGTTTGTAACCTGGCTAGGAGGTTATAAACATTGACTCGGGCTCCAGCTCCAACTCTGGCTCGAATAAATAGATTTGGAGTATGGCTCGAAATAATTCATGGTTATAAAACTTGGCTCGAGCTCCGGCTCCAAATCTAGCTCGAAAGCTGTCTCGAAATTTTGAGCTGGAGCACGTACTCGAAATATAGGTTATAAAACTTTTGAGTACAGAACACGTACTCCAAATGGAGTAATTGTTGCTTAAATCTCGAGTAAGCTTAAGAGCTTACTCGAGATTTCAGTTGTGTACTCCAAGTGCCGTCTGCTCATGTAAGAATGGCTGCACACAGGCAAATGGCTCATAGGGAACGCGTTCCGCGCAATTTCAGAGACAGGTCGAACCCACTGGAGGAATTGTCGGCAGATGATGTCTTTGCAAGGTACAGGTTCCACCCAGATACCATTATGGATCTCCTGCGTCAGCTGCCAGACTTGTCACATCCAACTCAGAGGAACATTCCAGTCCCACCCCTCCTTCAATTACTAGTGACACTAAGATTTATAGCCACTGGTGCTACTCACATCCTCGTTGGTGATGACATCAAAATCTCAAGATCGACAGCCGGGCGATGCATAAGGCGTGTGTCAGCACTCATTGCTGAACTGGCACCACAGTACATCTCATTTCCAAGAGGAGACCGCGCGCATCAAGTCATGGTGGAGTTTTCACAAATTGCAGGTTTTTAAAGATTAATATACATTGACTATATGGTAGAACTAATAATTTATGGCGCATCTAAAGGAAGACAATGCTTGATCATATACTACTTTAACTCTGTCATAAAATCAAAGCCTTTACCCATGTATGCGAGTGTGAAAGAGGGTATAGGAGGGACTAGGTCTGCCCCTTCTGAAAAAAAATTTATGTTATTGCTGCTTTCTCATTCAATTAGTGCTATGTGAATATAATATTCCTTACATGGCAACATCATCATATTCTTATAACAAAACAATAATTGTTTTATTAAATGATTCTATTATTAAATGATAAAGAATAATTAGGAAAAACTTGCAATCCTTCTTAATCATTGTTTACATTTTTTGAAGACTTAGCCAAATGCAGTTAGAGAATCTTGATTTAAGTTAACATTCATTGTCTTTACGTGTATGTGCTAGAGGTTGGCAGATCTAAAGGGAAACAACTCTTGTTCTAATGCTACTTTAACTCTGATAAAAGTATAGCGAATTACAGGAGTGTGTTTGTGTGTGAGGGTGTGTGTGTTGGGGGGGGGGGATTCATTGGGTCTACATTCAAGATCAGCTTCTAACAAAATTGCCATTGTTATTAACTATATAAAGTAAATTAATATTCCAAAGAAGACCATTTCTTACTCTACTATATTGTAATGTTAAGGGCCAAATTTTCTTAATTTCGCAATTAACAGGATTTCCTAGAGTTTTGGGCTGCATAGATGGAACACATATAAGAATTACCAAACCATCTGGGCCTCAAGAGGCAGATTTCGTGAACAGAAAGCAGTACCATTCTCTAAATGTCCAGGTACCTTAGCATCAGTTTAGAGAATTCATATATTCCTTTGAAATCACCAATAACCCACTAAATATTTCTTCTGGTCACTGATATCAACATGAACTTGTATCAAAAACAAGAAAAATTTTAAGGAGTATCATTTTTATAGCCCCCACCCCCTCACTTTCTTTTATAGATGGTTTGTGATCCCTCTTTTAAAATCACTAGCATCAGCTGTAATTGGCAAGGGGCTACACATGACAACAGGATATTCAAAATGTCTGCATTATGTCACCAATTTGAACAAGGTAAAGGAAACTTGGGGCATTTATGATTTACAATGCCTACATTCATCAAAGTTAATTGTTTGCAGTGGTGCATAACAGATGCATTCGCAAATGATTTGTTTTTTAGGTGACCATGATGGCCTTTTACTTGGTGATTCAGGTTATCAGTGCCGTCCTTTTCTCATGACACCTTTTGTAAGCCCTGCAAATGACAGCGAAAAGCGCTACAATAATGCCTTGTGTAGGACCAGAGTGCTCATAGAGCAGACATTCGGATTCCTGAAAAAAAGGTTTCAATGCTTATATCTCCTCCGTACGAAACCACATGTGGCAGTGATGTACATAAAAGCAGCAGTTACTCTGCACAACTATGGGATAGAGAGGGGTGAAGTGCTTGAAGCCCAGCAGAATGTTGTACAGCAGGTGTCTTCCAAGATGTTCTCTTTCCTCTCATCAATCTTCCTCTTCTCACTTACTTTACCTTAAAAATAGAACACATACTTCAAGTGGTAGACAATCTCACAAGTTCAATATATTCAATTTATACTTTGAGGTTTGAAAATATATCATTTCATGGGTTTAAAACTTGAGTACATAATATACATTGTAAATCAGTCTCAAATGTAAATGGAAGTAATAAGGTATCATTTTTAAACCTTCGGGCTTTATGGGATTTGGTCACATGAACAACCCTTATTTACATCCAGATAAAAGTTTAAAAATACCTTACTTCTTAAAGAACCTATTGTGGTCCTTCTGTACTTGGAAAGAAGATTTTGAGGCTTTTTCCCAATACACATATCCCCATGTTTTCTGCACATTTTATTTTCTGGCTAAGTGCTTGTGGCTCCTAAGTGAACAACTAATTCAAGAACAAGTTGTGTTTGTGAAAAACTCATGCCACTTTTGCACTTGCTTATAAACTGCTTCAAAATTTACAGTGAGTAAGCAGCCCCATTCCAGGTTATATAGCTTACCTAGTGCAGGTATTAAATTTATTCCTCTATTATTTCTCTTTTTAGACATGGGACCCATCATCTGCATATATTTACATTTCACAAGTATTTTGCTTATAAAGAATGTGGTAAGTTAAGGCATTCAAAGCACCATAACAAGGATAGAGGGTCAAAAGGTTAAAGTATGCATTTTAGTTAGATGTCACAAACCGAAAAATAATGATGTCTGAATCAATTTTAACAAAAGTTAGTGACAAGGTTGCTAGAAAAATTGGCCTAGAGGCTTTACAACAGTAGACATGAGAATTTTACAGACAGACGGATAGACAGACCAATAGACACAGGTTAAAAGGTGATCAGAAAAGCTCCAGGCCCAGGGGCCATAAAAGTTAGATGAACTCACTTTTCATCTAAGTCTCACTTTTCTACTATTAATTCCTTTGTTTGGTAAAAGTGAGACTGAGATCAAAAGTGAGCTTGTCTAAGTTTTATGCCCCCGGAGCCAGAACTTACTGCTAAGGTGTGCTAAAAAGGTTTATCCCATGTTTACCCCTTTATCCTGTGGATATGACTCATTGGATATTTTTTTTCATAACCCACAGTTAAGTGCAGTTGTGACGTCACAATGGTTTTTGTGTTAGCGTGATGAAGTAAAATGAAGTGGAGTCCTATATAAAACAGTGTAAAACATTGGTTGTGAAGTATTAAACATGGGATAAAAAGAATCTCCCATGATTTGTAGTTGGATATGACTTTTATCCAACTCGTTGTGTGTTTTTATCCCCTCGCCAAGGCTCGGGGATAAAAAACACACAACTCATTGGATAAAAGTCATATCCAACTACAAATCATGGGAGATCCTATATATAACCATGGTCAGTTATCTTACCTCTGCTTTCTTTATCTTTTGAAGTGTCAGCCCTTGAAGATGTCTGTGGTGCTGCTGAAATATAAAGGAAAAATTTAATGCTTGCAAACAAAGATTCAAAAATGAAGCATTTGAGTATCATTCCATTTCCAGTCACCATTCATGCATCTATTTCCGACTCAAACTGATATACAGTTTGCAAAGCTCATTGTTTGTAAGAGAAATTTAATTATTGATTATATTGCCATTTTATTTTAAGAAGAAAGAGGGTATACGTATGTGTTTAATATTTTCAAAATTACTCACATCCGACATCCTGACTTTTCTCACAGTCTTTGGTACCGGTAGTTAAAACTACGACTGAAATGAAAACAAGAGTATCCTTGTCTAGTAGTGATCAAATTAATATACTATATTGTTTATTAAGATAGTTACATAGTACACTGTTCTTGTCTTCCTTACCGTCACTGTCAAAGCCTGCTTCTAGGCCAAAAATGCTTGGCCTTCCATCTTGTCTCTGAAGAAGCACCTCCTCTGCCTCTGACAGTTCCACTTCAGCTTGTCCGCCACCTGTCTTTCTGCATTCTTTCTTTAAAAAATCTATTTTCTCTTTGGCTGTTGAAAGGAAAAACATGTTAAAGCTACATATGGCGTATCTGAGCTTTGAAAATAAAAATACGAGATTGAGTGTAGATGAACATGATACATGTATTTGTTATTTACGTTCAAATAAAAGTTTTCCAATTTTGAACTTGAATAACCCCATGTTTCAATAGTTAAATTGACTTAAAACTGTGTCTGATAGTGAAATGCGGATAATTAATTATTAGTTATAAAACAAATAGAAAGATCTTTTCAATTTTAGGTAGTCAAAACTTATCAAAAATATGCCATATATGACTTTAACTATAAACTTATTAGGTATTTACTACTTGACAACATTTTACATAGTATTAAATGTGTACTGTGGAATGTGTACTTGATTCAAAAACATACTAATTCTATTAACATGATTATACTGTTGGATTGAATTGTTGACAAACTCCTGATTTAAGAAAAGTTGCTTGTGAAGACTTAAACTTAAGCCAGTGATAGTTATCACTGCGCCTTAAAATTAACAGTTAATTAACTAGTACAACATTCTCTTTTCACTGAAATTCTTAATACTAAGAATGGACTTTGACAAACTCATTTAGCATAAATCTAGCCGACATTCTTGTGTTTAAAACACATGTATGCAGGAATCAAATATACTTACTCCTTTGTTTAGCATTGTTGTATTTTTTCCTGCATTCTTCTGGTGTTCGCTTGCTGTTAGTGAATTGTCTACAAAAACAAAGACTTAAACATAAATATTATGGTTTTGTTTTTCCTCTTTTCTGTTTCTTTATTGTTTATAAAATTATTTTCTATTAGCCTTAATCATAAGCTATGGTTTTAAAAAAAAGCATCAAATCAGAATATTGTATTACATTATTTTGTGCACAAAGATAAACATATAAATTGAATAAAACACATGAAAAGTGCATTTCAAATACACAGTGATTTGAATTTTTTGGCAAGTTATTTTCTGATATAATGATACACAATCCATCTTAATTTGTCCAAACCATATACATGCTATAACAAGGTATTTATTTAGAAACCAAAACATTTCCACTTTCTTGAATATGATATCATATTAAATAATAGTTGTTCAATTCCTCACGCATTTAAAATATCTGCCACTTCCTCCCAGCCCTGCCTCCGCTTAGCTTGTCCCGATTTCGCCCCCGTACCCTTAAAATCCCCGAACAACGCGTCTTCCCTATCTAACACGGCAGAAATCAGTCGTGTCTCCTCATCTGGAGACCATTTTGTTCTTACTTTCTTCTCAAAAACCTCTTTTGAGGAAAGAAGTTTTTCTATATCCTTTTCTGCCATTTCAGTTTTTTGTAGCAAGTTATAGTCTGCTGTGTATATGCAGACGATATTGCACTTTATCGTCGGATACAAAGTAACCAATACAACCCGTTACGTTTTGCAGAAATCATATGTAATCTCATAAGCATTTCTGAGAAAAATATAACTTTGAACATTTTAATGGAAAATAAACAAATAAACTCACCACTATACCCATTGGAATACTGCTACAAATCACCAACGTAAATATTACATGGGCGCCGCCATTACGAAAGAGTTCCAAATAGACCGCTTGTGTAATTGAAAAAAAGTCCGAGTTCGTACTCAAAAATTTCGAGTACGTACTCTTAGGAGTACTTACTCGAATATTTTTATAACCTAAGATTTTGATCACCTACTCCTAGGAGTACAATTTTGAGTTAGAGCCAGAGTTGGAGCTGGAGCCCGAGTCAATTTTTATTGCTAGCGCTCTCGAGCGCTAGCAACTACGTTAGTCTATATTTCTGAAAGGTGTCCAGTCACTTCGTACACAAACCGAGTCGTACACAAACCAACTCGTATACAAAAAGTCAACTCGTACACAAAAACCAGAAGTCAACTTGTACACAACATTTATATACAATCGTTATGATTTAATTTTATACAAATAATGTTTGATAACACGAAGTGTTACTTTTCTTTAAGTTTTTTTCCCTAAATATTTAAATAATTCAACTTCCCTGATAGTATAGGAACATCAAAGACATCAAAGAAGTATTGTTAAACCAACACCCGCGCGGTGGTTTCTTGGATCTGCGACAAACGCTAATTACGAGATGCTCATAATTCGGTATCCTTTAATTATGAGATACTATATGTATCGAAAACGTCTCCAAGTTTCTTCATTCCTTATACTTCACCATGGTTCGAGAGAGTTACAATAATTGACTTGAGTGGACTAGTCTAATAGTGCTTGTTACTTGTGCTTGTTTTATCTTACTTTTGTTTTGGTATGTAAATATTATTCAAATAAAAAATAAATAAGAAATTATATGTCTTTGTCTGTTTTCATTAATAAACCACAACAAAGAATGAAAGATGAGAAACGGCCTCAAGACGGCACAAGAGAATAACAATGGGAAAATTATGTTATATGAAGGAACCAAAATGACCATAATATTGAATAAAAAAGTATAATAAATAAGTAGTACTATAGAGAGATAGAGAGTATATATAATGACATCATGTGTCAATATTCATATAACAAAATTATGTACGACATACATTCCGGAAAATCTTGTCAACAAATCAATCTGCGCATCGCATCGCATCGCGCATATGGTATATGGAAATTCAGAGGCATAAACTAGTTAAAAATGTACAGAAAACACATTTGTGTACCAGTTGACTTCTCAATTTTTTGGGAAACTATGGCAAATATTACCTTAAATCACATAGGAAAACGTATGTATGAGTTGTGTACGAGTTGACCAATGTTGACTTCTGGTTTGTATACGAGTTGACTTTTTTTTGTGTACGAGTTGACTTTTTGTATACGAGTTGGTTTGTGTACGACTCGGTTTGTGTACGAAGTGACTGTAAATCTTCTGAAATACGCATGCTCGACTTCACGGTCGGGGATTCTGGGAAAACTACTGTAGATAGACTGTGCTAGATAGACTGTACGATAACAATTTCGTTTTGTCATACAAAAATAGAAATGATCCGAATTTATACTGGCCTTTCCTGTCTGATATGCGCGATATACATTTCGTAGGTTAAAGACAGTCAATACCAGTCTAGATCCGGATTCTGAATTTTTTTTTAAATTTATTGTCTAACCTACACATAAAAGTACAAGAAAAAATTTGGCCATATAATGCCAAGATTCTAGACATCTAGCTTTCCTTACAGTTTTACCACCTTAGTGGATAATTTTGGCAAGCTCGGAAAAAAAACCCAACAACAACAACAAAAATCAAAAATCTTTTTCAGAGTATGTCGGAAAGACATGTCAATTTAGTGTTTATCATCTGAAAATACATATGATCTGAAGTTTCGTGTTTTGTTGTCTAATCTGCACGTAAATGAACAAAAAGGTACAGTAACTCGGCCTTATAAAACCAAGATTATTTTAAAAGTTGTAATGAATACAAAGCTTTGCTAATCTACCTTTATGGGTCTTTCCGGCAAGCTCGGAAAACCGCGGCAACCTCGGATATGTTTTCCGAGCTTGCCGGAAAGGCCCAAAGGTGCTCATTGGTTCTACTGACCTTTTATTGTTCACCTTGAAATTGAAATTACAGTAAAAAACAGAATTCTTAAAGCACAGTTATGAGTTAAGCACACTCTTAGATTCACCATTCTGAATTGTGACAACCCCCCCCCCCCCCAAACTCAACCCCCAGTGCACCAATCTGCCTTCCTATTAATAATTAATCGATTCATCAAATTTAACAAATGGTTCAGATATCTTCTACTGTATTTTATTATGCTACAGCGCTAGCTCACCAATCTTTTTAAAAGATAAGCTTGTAACCTCCTAGCCTGGATGTAAACAATCACGAGCGGCATTGTGGGAAGAAGACACTAAAGACCCGATATACGAAAAACGTGATTTGATCTGATGCTTTGTTGGCAAATATTTTAAAAAAAAAGTGTAGTTTAGTATAGCATAATGCTTCATAATCAATAATTTTTAAAAATAAATCATGTATAACACTCAATCTGATTATTTTATTTTTTGAAAAATCATCAGGTCGAATATCAGGTTCTTTAGTATATCAAGTCTTTAGTACGTCCTCGGAAGTAGCCATGCAAGTCGGAATTACAGACAGAAAATGAGAAGAAAATATGTGAAGTTGACAGTTGTACATTTTCTTAACGTACGGGCCGTATGTAGACATGCACGTTTAATCCACATCTACGAAGCACATAAAATCCTTGGTTGCGTACAGGGAGCATTAGTTTTAAAGGGATATATATATTCTTGCGCAAATTGTTTACGAGGAAATTCTGACGATCACATTAACAGCGATGAACAGTCTTGTGTCGGAGTTTTCTGTGATAAATGTAGCGAGTGATGAAAGAGTTCACGGTGACATTGTAATATATGATTGGTGTGGACCATAGAAGTGAAGGTTAGAATTTTCCTTATCTAAAATTTAACAGCTGCTTACAGCACTGATGTTTACATGTATATGCCAGCAAATGTAGAAATGAACGCACAAACACTGATGTATGTTATCTATTTTATGGTTCAGTCTCTGTCTGTGAGCCCTGACATGACATTGTCAAATCCCCATTGCTTTACCTTATATTTAAATGCATGAGAGCATGTAATTTCACCAAGACTTATTTTTTTTATTGAAACAAAAAAAAGCAAAAATTCAACAATACACTATCTGACATACTACATGTATAAAAATGATAATTATTGTTATATATTCTTCAACAAGTATGAATAGCTGTTATAACTAGGGCCTTAATTAATATTATAATTTGTTATACCTTTAAAAATTTGTTCTTATATAAATCTATACCAGTGTACACTCAAAATGTCTAACATTTCCAAGGTTTTATGAGCAATCATAAAAAAATCTATGTTGAACCGCAAAGTGAGATATTGAACCTGTCGATGAGATCATTGGACTGCTTACATATTACAGTATGCGCAGGATTAGTTAAATCCCATTTGCATTCGTTGGTGTTCGAAAGTTACGGAATTGACAGAGTTTTACCTCAGTGCTGGTAAAGGAAATTTACATCACGGAAGCCACTACAAAATACATGTATGTCAAACAAAAAAAGAAAGTAAAAGATATATCAAAACATTCATTGACCGTGTTCTCGGGATAAAATGCAATTTGCTGACCCCTTGAACCAAACTGTTTCCCTTCGGCCTAATGGCCTCAGGCAAACAGTTTGGTTCTCGAGTCCGACAAAACACATGTTGCCCTCAAACCCAGTTAGTAAATGTGTATTATTATTGGAAAATCTCAAAAATGTCACTCAGTTAAATTGCAAAAGAAATTTGGAAATATATTTATACATAAAAGTTTGAATTATTTCTGTGATAAGACGGCAGGATTGATTTGTGTTTTGTTTATTGCCCCTTCAAATTTTTTTTAGTCATATTATTATGCCACCACTTGCTGGTGGAGGCCTGCAAATATAGACCTGTACTTGACACTTATGGCCTTTGGGAAGTGAGGGATCTTTTTCGTGCCAGCACCTTCTGTGACACAGAACCTCGGTTCATAGGTTTCATCCGAGGAACCTATCTCCACATCCAGCTGTGGGATTCGAACCTGCGACGTAAGGATCAGCTTCTTACTGACACTTTGATTGATTGTATGTTGTTTTACATCTTACTTGAGAATTTTTCTCTTGTATAGAGACATTACCACATACTGGTGAAGGGCTTCAAACATAGACCTTAATACTTGGCACTAAGGCCCATTGAGCAGTGAGGGTTCTTTATTGTCCCAACATCTACTGAGAGGTTTTTAAGGTCTCATCTGAAAAACCTTTGACTTTCATTCTAATGCTTGGCGCTTGGTGAAGGAACCTTCATTACCTGTATGTTTATGTCTTAGGTTTGACACAGCAAATGAGAATCAAGCCCAGGCCTCCTGATTACAAAATGAATGCCCTACAACTAGGCTACCATTACAGATAATGAACTAGATTAATTACCATGTAAAACATTGCTTAGGCCAAATAAAAAAATATGTGTGGTTCCGGTTACCCGACCTTCCCTATTTTATACCCCCGACCCTAAACTTTTTTTGGCAATTTTCATATTTTTTCTGCAATTTTCCCCGATTTCTATCAATGGCTCCAGTTTAAGTTTTAGCTTCAGCAATGATGGCCTCCTTGCAAAACGTAGTGCAAGTGTTTAATAGTGTTAAATCCAAAGCAAGCTGGCATGTAGGTGTCCCCTACCAATATTGACTAGTATATTATCACACCACATCTAAATGCAATTTGCAAAGCAGTGATAGGTATTATTTAGAAAAAATTAAGAAAATCATTTTGTTAAAAAAAAAAAAAAAAAAAAAAAAAAAAATTCCCTACCTACCTATCCTAATTTTTTTGGAAGTGTAACCGGAACCACACATATTTTTTTGTTTGGCCTTAGTAAAAAATTAGTTCTTGAAATTAGAAAATAGATTTTTTTATGATTGGGGTATGTAAACTTAGAGTGGTATTTGGGTTATACAGTAAAACACGCTTACTGCGAACAGACTTAAATAAGGAATTGAAGCGTATAGTGAAGTGATTTTCATTCCCTGTGGTTTTAAAACATACTGAAAACTAAACTGAAAAATGAATACATTTATAATGAATCAAAATTATTTGTCCCTGGCACTTATAAGCATGTTTTACTGTAATGACAAAATAATGGGGATTTGTTTTCACAGTGGCTGTATATTGTGAATAATTTAATAAGTCGATAGCA